TCTCTTCTTTTCGAGTTAGGATCGTTATTGTGCTATTTGTTTTGTCTATTTAACTTTTTAAAAATAAAAATTCACTGCCCCCTATATACAGTTGAATAAATTACACTTTTGTAGGCTTTTGTGCTTTGCTCAAGGGCACTTCAGCAACATTAGTAATAATAACACAGGTACAACTCAGAGATCAAATGCTGTTCGTGTTTCCAATTAATGACGAATGTAACTAAGAAGTCTGACTCTATAAATGTTTGTTGTGTCGTACGTGTAAAAGAGTTCTGTGCTTGTAAGAGAGAGAGAAGTTTGGGAGTGGGTGTCATACTTTTCTTCTTCCATTGTCAATATTGTGTTTAGCGGATGTTGAGTAGGTGAGTGACAGGGTTCAGTTTCTTCCTCTACTTTTGATGTAAAAACTTGAATCACATTCAGTTTCTGTTGAACTGCCTCCAGTGATGGAAACAATTAACTTCAATGTTACAGTCTTAAATCCCAAAGTCATTTTACTGCAAACTGTATCTTCTGTCTTTTTTTAATCTCTCTCTCTCTCTCTCTCTCTCTCTCTCTCTCTCTCTCTCTGTCACACACGCACATATGCACACACACCTGTTCGATGGAGAAGTATAAAGAAACTAATGGTTTTTCAGGTCTCGGGTAGTCTCTGCACGACCCTTTTCCTGTGTGCTGGAGACAGACAGAACCGTCTTCACTGAGATGCTATCGCTTCACTCAGCTTTGAGCTCCTCATCCCCTCTGAAACAAAAAGACCACAAACACACCACAGAGCCAACCACAGGCACTGACAGAGAACAACAGAGAGCCTGACATGTTTGACATGAGAAAACTATACAAAAAAAAACGTGAAGACATTTTCTTTTTGTAGTGTGTTTTATTGGATGTAATACATCATCATCATCATCATCATCATGTCTTCAAGTGGATGTCTACATCTTTATTAATGGGTGTGAGTTTCTTACAGTAAATTAAAGGAAAGTGAAGGAACATGCCTGATGGATTCTTGTATCTTCAGTTGTTAAGTTAAATGAAAATCAAACATGTATCTTCACTCTTGTCGTGTATGTCCTGCACTTCAGCCACCAAGGCTGAAGTTACTAATTGAACACTGACTCACTGAAGATAATTCAAACACCTCTCAGTGTAACGCAATAGTTCATCAGCACCACGAGAAACAGCCGCCAAACTGTTTTCAGAAAAGTAATCTGAAGGATTCAGAGCAGGACTGTTTAATTTGAGACTTTTTGGGTATAAACTATTTACTGCATTATCATCATTCTTTGGAGATGTTTTTTTCACATTTTACATGAGCCATAAATGAATTCAGGAGGCATCGAGTGCAGAGGACTCATTTCTACTTATTTACTTATTAACTCTTATTTATAATGAC